CTCAATAGCTAATTACCAAAACCCTATAGTATTTTTTTACAAGAGCCAACCTACACATTGTAGTATACAATGGCTAGAAGACCTCGAATTTTCAAGGCGACAAATAACCACAACCACGCGGTTGTGGACTTCGTGTGTCTTTTTTTCCTCTCCATCTTTGTTTCCTCAGGTTACACCCGTATCCGGATGTATGGGCATGTGTCTCTACTTTTGTAGTTGCATATGTGCATTCATTTCGGGTCTGATGAAGCCAACCAGCAGAAATACGTATCGCTCGGGTTACCTATCCTATTTTCTGCTCGAATCCACTTTTTGCGGATTTTTTCCATTGTTTTCCTATTTTTGTTATATACCTTTCTCCGCATGATAATTTTCTCTTTGTAGATCCTTTGGGCTTGAAGTACCACAGCAAGTGGCTATAACCGGCCGCGTGGTTGTGGTTATTTGTCGCCTTGAAAATTCGAGGTCTTCTAGCCATTGTATACTACAATGTGTAGGTTGGCTCTTGTTGTGGACTTCGTGTGTCTTTTTTTCCTCTCCATCTTTGTTTCCTCAGGTTACACCCGTATCCGGATGTATGGGCATGTGTCTCTACTTTTGTAGTTGCATATGTGCATTCATTTCGGGCCTGATGAAGCCAACCAGCAGAAATACGTATCGCTCGGGTTACCTATCCTATTTTTTGCTCGAATCCACTTTTTGCGGATTTTGTCCATTATTTTCCTATTTTTGTTATATATATATATATATATATATATATATATATATATATATATATATATATACATACTTTGAAGTTGAGTCATTAATTTTCATATAATGATTGTAGAAGGAAGACAAACCAAAATATGTGTGTAAAAATAAAAAAAAAATAAAAAAAAATGTTACCTTGTTTTATAAAGTATCCTCCCGACAAGTATTTCAGTGCGGACCTGTATTTGATCGTGCGGTCTTGGACCACCGGCATGCCCTCCCCTGTGAGGTCTTAAGTCACCTGATTCACGAACCCTTTGTACTACATTAACAAAGGCACGAGGGGTTGGTTGCACTCGATTGGGAAACCGATCCGCATAGATTCTTGATGCCGCGGCAGCATTTTGTAAAGACTCCCTCGCTTTTTTGTGTCCGATGCGATGAATCGATAAGGCGGATTATATCCGTTGTTGCCAAACACGAGCACATATTAATATTATTATTGAGACAGGGCGGTACTCAAACTTCTAAAGGGCTATAACTTTGTTACTTTAAGAAAAATGTTAAAGGAAAAAACATTTCTTTTGATCAGATCTACTCACTGTTAAAATAAATGACTCAACTTCGAAGTCACCCTGTATATACGTAACACACATAGAGTTCCCGTTCAATAACGCTAGAACCCAGCAAATACCGCTGTCTGGCCAATGCAGGTTTTGACCATTATAAATTGCCATTTCGTGGCGGATGCCATATTGCATTTAGAAGGACGTCACTTTGCTTATTGCACTTCTCCCATCAAGCCCTTTCATTATTTACCCATATAGGGGTTACCATGTAAATCGTCATTTTATATGCGGCAACTGTTAACGTAAATGCCCATTTTCATCGTATATAATAATTCTTTATATATTTACGACACGAGTGAAATAGTATTTAAATAATGCACCATGTTCGTCCCACACAATTTATTTTCTGAAAAATGAACAATTGTAAATTATCACATAAAAAAATTACAATTCAAAAATATAACTAGAGCAAAGTGTGAAATTATCTTCTAAAGGTGTCTGAGATATTTCATTTGAAATGAGTTTGGAAATTCAACAGTTGAAGCTCATCACTACTTTGCCTTTTGTAAAATGGCTTTCGAGTTTGAGATCAAACTTGGAGGCAAATCAAGAGACACCGATGACCTTCAAAAGGCCTACAAAAAAAATTACAAATTCAAGATAATATTAGATTGGTGCAGTTGTGTAACGTCATTTAACTTAATTTAACTCAACTTTACCGAACCTAATATGTGAAATCCTGCCATCCTTAGGTTAAGCTAGATTGAGTTAAGACATTATAAACCCAACATAAGAAAGATGATCTGTACAATAAGTTTTTGTATCATGTAAATACTACCGTACTATCCAAATGGCTGACAAACACCATAATATTTAGTCATTCACACTTAGTATTGCCATGTGTTTCAACGTTTATGTTTTGAATTTCATATATAAACGCACATAAATATAACAGTGTTATGATCAACCAGTTCTCACTAAGTGTCAAATGTATACCTGTATGCATGTGAGAAACAGTATGTCTTCTGTCAGTCATGTCTTTGTTTTATTTCGTACCGTTCCTACACAAGAGTATTTTACGGATTTTGTCAGAAATTGTCCTCCTTACATTGAGATGGGTTTTGGTGCACGCAAATGTCAAATTATTATTATATTACATACACATAAACGTACTAACATCAGTGGTGTTTGTGGCAGCAAGGCCATTATAGGTACTTCTCCGCCAGGGTATGTAATGAACTATTATTATTAACTGGCAGAGCATTAGTCATCCGCTTATCGTTATCAAAAAAACAGTAACCGAGCTGACACTTTATTTAACGAACACAACAAAAACTTCAAGAAACACTTTTCACGCAAATTCAACAATGTTTTGAGAAAACGACACTTACTCTTACAATAAACCAGTGGCGTACATTTTTTTGCGTTTAAGCATCCCTTATCCTGGAAGCGGAAAATTTTCGGACGTAATGTATACATGAACATTAAGTATTTCATATTCTCACGTGCTGAAATTGCCCCTGAAATGTTTCTGACACGATTCTTGAACAAACTGTAAACCTTACCCTTGAAAACACTCTGACATGCAAGAGTATTTGAGAATTATCTGCCACTTCGCATATCAACTAGACACTTTGACTACAATATTCATACAGCATTTGCCACCACGCTTAATGACAACTGGTGATAGTAACCAATATGTGACGTTCAAAACTGTATTTTCAATTTAGCCTACAGAAAATGATATTGCAAATACATCCTTTACAAAGCCCTTATCCTGATAGCCTTTTTGTTCAGGAATCCGTAGTTTCTGTTGACTTTTAATAATCCAAAGCCAAGATAGAGAAGACAAAGTACATGTAAACACAGTTATAATAGTCGAATATTAGTAGTTTTATTTTTGCAACTGAGTGACTCCTGCACAAGTCAAGATGTCAATAAGAACGGTTAATATGAATTTCCATCTCTCAGGCACGGAACGAGTATTTAGAACGTCAGATTTCCGTGGATTAGTGCATATCTGAAAATTCTAAACTAAAAGCTTGTAAACTCTGTAATCAAGGTTCATAAATAGCCAGAGAATATATAAACATGATCAATAAATAATCCCTTCCAACCATCGGATCAAGTGGGGTAAAAATCTCTTTAACGGCAGTGGTAGTAAAAAAATGATTCACTTTAAACTAGTGTCCTGGATAATAAAGTTATCCCCATGTAAAATAATGTGTGCTGACGCGTGTACAATGCATATAACGTGCTGAACATGCCTTGGGAACGCTTGGGAAAGATTTTAAATTTCACTAATATTTCATCAGGCTGAAAAAAGTAACATACCTTTTTTGTAGCAAATTTTATTCTCCATAGAAAGTAACTATACTTTTGAGTTACTAGGATGTACTTAAAGTTGGGTCTTTCATTCACACTGTGTATATATATTGGAAAAATAGGCAGATATTAAGTCTTAAGATTACCGAGATGTTAGGCACCACAAAATCAACCTAGCCCCCACAAAATCTAATACGGTTCTGCAACTCGATCAGATCAAACGTGAACACGATGCGAATCGGAACTCAATCCAGGCGCGTTAGTAATGGGTGCTAGTATCTTTTTGGCAACACTGTTTTTGACAGATGACGCGTGAATCGTGTCTTGTGTCATTGTCAAACTTGTTCAGTTTCGTCTATAATTTAACCACGAATCGACTTACGAACGAACAACGCTTGCAAATTATTGAATTTTACTATCAAAATGCATGCTCGATTAAGAAAGTGCATCGAGCACTGCTTCCAATTTATGGGCAATTTGGTCGGCCTACTGAGGGAGCTATTCTGAAGCTTGTGACTAAATTTCGAACCCAGTTTACATTATTGGACATTAAACCACCACCACGCAGACGTAGAGTGAGGACTGAAGAAAATATTGCGGCTGTATCCGCCAGTGTTAGTGATGACCGTGAAATGTCGATTCGCCGCCGTTCGCAGCAATTGGGCCTCTGTTACTACACTACGTGGAAAATTTTGCGACAGGATTTGGGTGTAAAACCTTATAAGATACAGCTGGTGCAAGAATTCAAGCCACACGATTTCCCACAACGTTTCCAATTTGGTGAATGGGCGCTGGCAAAGCTGGAGGAAGATCCACATTTTTATCGAAAAATTGTGTTCAGCGACGAAGCTCATTTCTGGTTGAATGCGTACGTTAACAAGCAAAATTGCCGCATCTCGAGTGAAGACCAGCCAGAACCATTGCAAGAGCTACCAATGCATCCCGAAAAAATCACTGTTTGGTGTGGATTATGGGCCGGTGGAATCATCGGGCCGTACTTCTTCAAAGACGACAATGGCTGGAACCTAACTGTGAATGGCGAGCGCTACCGTGCGATGATAACAAACTTTTTTTTGCCCAAAATGAAAGAGCTGGAGTTGGCTGACATGTGGTTTCAACAAGACGGTTCCACATGCCACACCGCACACGAAACAGTGGCCCTATTGAGAGGCGAGTTCGGTGAACAGTTTATCTCACGTTTGGGGCCCGTCAATTGGCCGCCTAGATCGTGTGATTTAACGCCGTTGGACTATTTCTTGTGGGGCCATGTTAAGGCTAATGTCTACAGGGATAAACCAGCAACGATTGACGCACTGGAAGCCAATATTGAAGCATTTATTCGTGAGATACCGGCCGATATGTTGGAGAGAGTGTGCCAAAATTGGACCTTGCGCATGGGCCATCTAAAGCGGAGCCGCGGCCAACATTTACATGAAATAATCTTTAAACATTAAATTATATCGACCGTTCTATCGACTCAAATAAAGATTTGATAGTTTTTTCAAATTTTTTGTGTTTTTTTTGAAAATCAAATCCTATACCTCTTAAAAAATCACCCGTTATTTAAACAAAATCTTTTACAGCAATATCCGAGATGTCCATATTATTTTAATTTACGGTGAGTGACTTCGGAATGATATCGAGGCTTCTAGAGTGCATGCAGATCGGTGTTAAAGATCCTTCGTGATTTTTCTGTTTGGATCGAAGTAACATGTTTAGTGTATAACACGATTGACAGAGCCGTAATTTGTTTTCGATGAACGGTGGGTACTTATTCATTTATTTTTTACCTTTTCGCTGTTGCTTCACCGCACATTAGCATCGATATTACAATTTTAGTTGTTCCTGAAAAAGAAAGTCCCAACTTACAGGACAATCTGTATACATTGAAGAATGAAGGCTTTCACGGATAATTCTAATGTAATTTAGGTTTTTCGGGCTGTTGAGCCGTGGTCGTGTTCAAGCAATTGAAATCTACAAACATAATAATAATTTCAATAGAAAAGAAGAAGGCCTTGCTTTAAACAAAACGTGATTCCCAATTCCAAAAAGCACAGCGCAAAAGCCACGCCACTCAACAGGCCCAGAGTACCCCAACCAGACTACTCAGTCCTCAGTCCGCACGCTCATCCAGTTAACCGATCAGTTTGAGTCGACCCGCCAAGCCGAGCACTTCGCTCTCGCCGACAGCGCCACTGAAGATGACTACCGCAGATGTAGGCGAAAGCTCTGGACCAAATCTAACACGACCACGCCTCAACAGCCCGAAAAACCTAAATCACAACCTGTATACAGTTTAGTCGTTATAAGCGAAAATGTAGTAACTTGTATCTTCGAGATTCAGTAAATCGTAATTGTTCAGCGTAAGGTAAAACTGTATGAAATCAAGTTGGTGGATAATCTAATTTGTTACAAAAGTTATACATTAATTTTTAACGTAATATGAGATAATTGACAAAACACGCTTATCAAAGTCGCAGCAAAATCTCAGGCCCTAGAATGATGCCAATTTTGAATTAGCAATAACAAAGCAGCACTCTAACGGTATTGTTAAAAAAAATCTGTTGTATTTATTGCAAAACTTTGTACTCCAATTCACCTAAGTCTCTGGTCTACTATGTGTTACTCTATCTTGGATTTGGACCGGATTTAAGACAATGGAATCTGATGGTGCCCTATAGTCTTGGTAATGGTTCAGTTGACGGGTTCTTTGCCGGTGAAACCGTAGCTGGTGTAGGACCCAGGAGGGTGGTACCTTCCATCGTCGTGGACAACTGGAGGGCTACAGGGCATCCTAGAAGGCGATATAGTTCTGTTTCGGACCTGGTGACCTCCAATTGGTTTTTTCGAACTGGGACAGCAAACTGCGTGACGGAATTCGGTAACCATTTCTGTACACAGGGACTTCTGCAAATCAAAAAAAGGATTCGTATACGTTCAAGATGCGTCGGACAAAGATTTAAAAGTTCTTGAATCATAGAGTAAGCCCTGGGCTTTTGGACTATTATGACTGTTTCTCTATACTTTCTCGAAACGTTATGCTTAAAAATTAGGACAATTTTAGTCTAGCCTCAAAGTCAGTTTTACGTCGATACCAGTGTTTGGAATGACGTCAGTGTTGCTAAGCTTGTTCATTAGGACGTCCTACAACAATGAGTAATTGGGCATATGATGCTGACGTTTAAAAATGATATTTAGCGGTGGCAAGCACCAATCAAGGGAGTTCAAAACTAAATTAGTACTGGCAAAATCAGGGACTATGTAGAGGAATGATGGAATGGTGGTATCAATACTGCGGCTACATTGTTTTACTACATTTGTACAGGGTGCGGCAGAGAGGACGGACGTTTTTGGGATGGGTAGTACTCTCCACCTCCGTCTACGAGAGAGGTGGGGAGGGTGCCGTTTGACTCGTGAGATCCTAGCATTATTTTACCAGTTGCCGTTATGGAGCCTTGGACGGTGGAGCACCGCGTTTTCGCCTATGATTGTATTCGTCCGAAATAATGAGTCAGTCATCGTCGTACAGCGTGAGTTTCGTCGCCACTTCAACATTCATCGGAATAGAGCTGTTCCCTCTCGAAACACCATCCTTCGTTGGGTTGAATCACTTCGCATGCGTGGTAAACTGATCAACAGAAGACCAAGAGGAGCGTCGCGAACAGTTCGAACTCCTGAAAATGTTGAACGCGTTCGACAGGTCTTTCTTCACAGTCCGACTCGATCTGCCCGGAAACATGCTGCTGCACTTTGCCTTAGTGATCGTTCGGTAAGGCGAATTTTGCATATGGATCTCCTCTTTCACCCCTACAAATTGGCCATTGTGCGACAGTTACAGCCCGGAGATTATGCACAACGAATGAACTTCGCACGGGAGATGGAAGCACTGATCGATCAAAATGAGAACCTCATTTTGTTTATGAGTGACGAAGCCCACTTTCACAAGCCACAAGACCCGAACTCTGGACGAATTGAAGTGCGAAATTCGCGTGGAAGTCGCCCAAGTTGAGAAAGGGATGTTGGAGAGAGTCTACGCGAACTTCCAAGAACGCCTCCAGCACTGCATCAACGATTTCGGCCACGACAGGCCTGATGTGATTTTCCACACTTGACTATCTCAAATGCTATTTCCTTGTGAACCTGATTCCATCAATAAATTTGTTTTCGAGTGACTATTTTATGATTTTTTTAAAACCGTCCATCCTCTCTGCCGCACCCTGTATAAGAGACAACTAGAGTAACCAATTTCATATATTTTTAGTAACATAATAGTTTAGTTTTGAAAACTGGGTGGTGATAACCACCCTACATGTCGTCACTAACACGTAATAAGATCCTTTGATTACGTATTTTTAAAGAACTGTGATTTATTTTATTCTCATCTACAAATGGTGTTAATTCAAATCCACAACTCACCAAAAACATGTATTCCAATATGAAATGTTTTTCTTGAGCGAAGCATAATTTGACAAAGAAAAAATTTGGTTATCAATGAACTAGATTCGCTCGCAAAAGACGGATTCATTCAAGACCCCGCCACCCCACTCCTTTCCCCGGCTTTCAATTTCCAATCGCCGAGCAGTCCCTATCTTCGCGAACACAAATCCCGAGACCAAATCCTCCACTGTGATCAAGTGACCCCCTGACCCAATGGTTGGATCCGCTCTCGACCGATCATCTCTGTCGGCTTGCCGAGGTGTGCTGATTAGACTTAGGCTATAGTCGAAACATGCATGTCCACACAGAAACTATGGGTATAAAAAAGGAAAGAACTAGCTCTGAGAAGCTTAAAATAGCGTCTTTCTACTACGGTGCTTCCCAGGCTAACTGGCGGGTAATCGCGAAAATTTTCGAAAATGAGATTTGTTTCTTGGATGTTATCAGGTAACCGGTGGCTGTATATCGCACATTGCCATGGATTGGATGTTTTTGATCGATTGCGATTGTTTGTTACCTGTTGTCACTTTAGTATGAATCTTTCTTTTCTCACATGCATAAAAAGTTGCTGAAAATTGTTACATACCTAGCTTTAATAATTGAAAATGGCGACAAATAAAACAGTAATTTGAAGTTGTTTACTGTATCAGTACAAACTTGGTACAAAAGCTGCAGCGGCGGCGCGAAAAATAACCGCGCTCAGGGAGACCAAAAATCACGAACAACGAAGATCTTCGACAGGTTGTGGACGCAAATTCCAGGACCGCGTGCCAAGAACTTGCAGAAATGTTCAGAGTGAGTCCTGAAACTATTCGCTTGCATCTTCATCAGCTAGGAAAGACGTGGAAGTTAAGCAAATGGATCCCACATGAACTGACAAGTGATAACAAATTAGGTCGTCTTACCATTTGCTAAGCAAACATTTCACGCAACGCTAATGCACATTTTCTTGATCGGTTATTAACCTGAGATATTGTATTCGAATTCTAAGCGTTCGTATTGGTTGTCGCCTACTGATTCGGTACCACACACGCCCAAGGCTTCCTTGCACCCAAACAAGGTTTTGTTGTGTGTTTGGTGGACAGCAACTGGAATTGTCCATTATGAGTTTTTGGAAAGGGGTAAACAATCACTGCTAACTTGCATTGTGAGCAGCTTCAACGAGTACAAGCAGCACTCGTTCAGAAACAGCCTTCTTTGCTCAATCGGAAGAAGGTTATATTCTTACAGGATCACGCCAAGGCTCATACCGCAAAAGTGACCCGAGAAAAAATGTCTGAACTTGGCTGGGAAACATTACCGCACCTAATATTATCACCTTTCTTTGTCTCTTGACAACTGTATGAAGCACCGACAGTTCACAACTCGAGATGGTGTAATAAATGCCGCCAATTTTTTTACTCCAGATCCAGGGAGTTCTACAATACTAAAATTGGTTCCACGTTGACAAAAGGTGGTAATTATTTCGACGAATAAATAGCGTCTTATTGTTTCTCGATAAAAATTTATATTTTTCTACTGGAAACCGCACTAACTTATTTGGTTACTCATTTTCTTCGTTCTATCTGTCCGTCTGTCGGTTTGTCGCTAGTCTTATAACCGCCTATAACTTGAGAAGTATCGCTCGGATTCCGATGAAATTTTCACAAAATGTTACTACTATAACAAGGATACAAAAGCTTAGTAGCTTTTGAAAATCGGTTCAATGATGGCAAAGAAAAAGGCTTAAAATGAAAAAAGTAAAAATCGCTTTTTGATGCTGGTACATTTATACGCTCCCAACATTGGTAACTTTACGCACCTATTAGGCATAGTTCACACATCATAGATTTCTCTGTACATTAGCCCTGAAAACTATTCTCGGAAGACGGATATTGTACCTGTCGGCCGCGGCTGCTGCTGGCGTCGTACGCCAACCCTGATCCGTGCTCTGATATGCAATAACACGTATTTCTGCCGGTGCTTTGACCGCGCTACCACGATGCGATGTCTGAGTTAGGTAGGGTTTGAACGCTCTTAGAATATGACCGCTACGTCATCGTGGGCGGGTCCGCTCATCACGCGGTCGTCGACAGAGCGCAGTGGCGTTCTATTTTATTTGAAGTATAAAATAAAGTGAATAGGTTGTGTAGACATTCATCATTAATTGATTTTTGTATTATTATATTCATTTAGTATGCGCATTAAGTTGTTCGGAAGCAAATTTGAATTAGAAGAGGGAGCAAACTAAAGACGGTTATAATTCAAATTATATATTATCATTAAAAAATCTAATCGCTATCAGATGATAGTGTGTTTAGCTTCAAATCTTCATCTGAGTCGCTTTCGTCACTATCTTCTGATGATGACCCTGTGTTCACATTGAATTGATACGTATCCATTTGATCGTCGAGAAGATGTTCTTTTTCCATTTGTGCTTGCTCATATTTTTTCACGTGGTTACAAATTTTCTCCCACTCATCTGCTCCAATTTCTTCAAACCTGCTATGGGTCAGATGCTCCACATCAGACAACCTAAATGTCACATTTCGTGGAGCAACCCAGTTTTTTACGAGAGCCCAAATCTTCTCGATTGGGTTTAGCTCCGGATGATATGGAGGCTGTCATAAAACTTTATGCCCGTGCTGTTCCATTAAGGCATCTAACTTGTATTTGACTGGAAATCTTTTATTTTCCTGTATTTTTTATATAGTTCGGCCTTAGTCAATGAGTTTTCACTAGGACTTTGATGTTTTTCTAGCCAGTCAATCATCTCTGATTTCAGGCTAGAAGACGTTACATTTTTTTCTTCCAGGACATTGTGATAAGAAGCGTTGTCAACTACAAGCACAGAATTTTCAGGCAAATTTGGGATGAATTGGCTTTCTACCCATTTCATGAAGTTCAAATGATTCATGTCGTTGTGGTAGTCCCCAGATTTTGAGCCTGAAACGAAAATACATACATATAATCCAGTAAATGTAAAAATATATTGGAAATATTTTACATCATTGTAACACAAATAATACCTGATTTGAATATCAACAAGGCGTTAGGAATAAAGCCGAATTCTCCACCAGCATGCACAATAATCATTCGTTGTCCTTTTGATAAAGGCGTTTTTAGTTCCTTGTCATAATTGTCATCTGACCATCCTTTTTTTGGGGTATGACTAGAATGTATATATGTTTCATCCGTATAAATTATGTTCCTGTTCTCAGCTCTATATTTCATAATTTGCTTCAGATATTCGATACGCTTCAAGCGAATTTCATATTTTTCCATGAGAGCTCTTTTATTATCAGTAGTTCTTTTCCATCTGTAGATGTAAATTATATTTATAGCGTTGTAAATCGAAAACCTTATAGTGTGTATGAATACTGACCTAAAGCCCATTTGTTTCAAAAGTTTGTTCAAAGTCGTTATTTTACCCTCAAAATTCAGTTGTCGATCTTGCATTTTTTGGTAAATACCTAAAAAATCTTAAAATGAAATATGACTAGATGCTACGGTTACAATTTAAAAACTTACATTTCAGCGAAGGTCTTCTTTTCTCCAAAATATAAAAATCGTATATGATTGCTTTCATTTCTTCAACTTGGCCTGCAGTCACTATCCACAACAGGTGATTTTCGTTGCCGCTTTTTAGATGGGGATGAAAATGAAAAGTTGCTTGAATATATTCCATCTCTGCTCTCTTTAGCTATTTTTTGATAAGTACATTTACTTATACCCGTGGCAGCTAATACACGTTTCCTAAATGGGTTAATCAGTTTTAATTGACAATAATTATAAAAATCTTTTACATTCATACATACCGGTACTGTTGAAGTGGAAACTTTAATCCCTTTACACTTTCCTGTACCATGAAGTTATTGACATTGTTGATAATTTCCTTTCCTTGACTCCCAATCGTCTTTCCTTTCACGCCAATCTCTTTCACAGACATTGTTTAGATCACTGGTTCAAAACTATTAATAATTTAAATTTGAACAATGGTAAAAATTTCCAATATATTGCAATCTATTTGACAATTTTTACACACGGTGCCTTGTTCAAATTAGTTTATAAACTGAACTTATGACTAACGGACAGGTTTATATATCTGTTGCAGGTAAAATAAATGTGATTGATTAACACTCATCCTCTTAACGCTACTTACGAACGAAGGGATTTAGCAACCGGGAATTATTCCAGGTAGTTCAATTTTACACTTGTTATTATTAGATTTGTTTCTACTAATTTTGTTTACCTACGCTTGATATTGGTATTAGCCTATTTATCTAGGTACTAATGATGCACTTTAGGAAATCTCATGATTGGTATAGATATAAGCGGATCACAGTCTTAGGATTAATTTAATTTCTTTCAGTTGTTTGCCAACTTTGGGGTTTTATCCTTCAATATTGTGTCTATTATATGTAGGTACCTGTTCACTATTTTAAATTTTGATTTATGGATCTCCATCAAATATTCACAAACCCCATAAGATTAATAATTTTCAACACAATCAAATATAAAATATCAGATCCCAATTGTGTCAACAATCTCAACTGACTGAAACTTGCGTATCTACATACTAAAAAACGTTCCGCCTATGGCTTTCTGAGAGTGGGATGTCCCTTAACAGCGTCAACAGCAACATAATTTCTGGACATTGAAGACCACATACATTTTTAAGCTTTCTACGATATAAATATTCGCCACGATTAGAACTGGACCACATTAAGAGGGCGGTAACAGATGTCCATAAATCTTACCAGAGACTGTCACAACAATTTTCTATATTCTTATAGGGTACAATCGACGCAAGGGAGAGGGTATAAAGTGATGACGTAGCGGGCATAACCTTAGGCTGTTCGAACGAGGCGACGTTTCCAGATGCACTACCGTTAGGGCGGGGAAGGAATTGTATGGACCTGTTTGGCTGACTATTTTCTTCATGTACTGATACGGGCTTTTCATGGAAAGTGGAGAGTCAACCTACTTGACGCCATTTTGTAATTTTAGGTTCAGATGCTTTCCGTTAAAAAAGGTATTATTTCTTTGAAATCAACCTAAAATCGAGTTCTTCATATACAGGGTGGTTGCATTTAAAATAGACCATCACGCTCTCTCCATTTTGACTGATAGCTCAATATAACGTACATTACTATTTTAAATGTTACATATACGGTACACCGTATTCTTTTTTTTTTAATTAAAAAAGTGGTTTCGTAAGGAAAGAGTGAATCTGATAATAATCATAAATCATCTTTACTTAGGGAGAAGTTTAGCTCATAACTACATATTTTGCCATTATCCCCAAAAACAAAAACAAAACTTGTAAAGGATAATGGTTGGTTTTTGAAGATTTTTGGCGTCACTTTTCAGACTTGCGACCAAGGGTCATTATTAATGCAAATGAAGCTTTTCTGTGATATAACTGCTATAACACCAAACAAACGCAACAAAACACAAGCATTTTACGAGTTGCATGTTTGATCTTGAGAGTTCCATGTCATGCACTGTCAAAGCAAAGGTTGTTGGTATCATTAGACATTGATAGTGAACCGAATCGAACCACCCTATATATGAGGAATAGATTTGTCTTGGTGTAATGGTCTATCCCTTACGCTCTCTTGCGCGGGAGGCAGAGCACTGGGGTTGAGACTGAGACATCAACATTGAGAGAGTGTCTACATGTCTTGGAGGATGCTGCTCACCCGTTCCTCCACAGCCGTTTTTCTTGATTTCCATACGAACTCACACACTGCGATAACGCATGCGACTCCCATACCCCCGATTAGCACTACGAAAACTCCCCCTACGTTCGCTAAGCCTAGTTCGTTCGCCGTACTGCTGGTCTTTGTCGTTTCGTCCTGAAAACATACGAGTCATGAATATAGAAAGCGTACAAGTATTAGTTCATAGTCCAAAGGCATATTCTCAGAGACACGAAAAGTGAAACGTTCGGTAAAAACGATTTTATTTGAATAAAATCTTGTATATACAGGGTGTCCGCAAAGTTGAGGTTTTCCTTTACACGACGTGTAGATCTTGAAAACATAAGCAATTTTTCTTAGTACCATATACACCAATGTCTTAAGGGAACCAAGATAAAGGGCTCTGCAACATCAAAAATATCTGAATACCGTCCTGTAGCCGCGACCCGAGACATCACCGATTGGTACAAGGTCTCAACCCGACGGCAGAACTGGGTCGGGGTCAGTGTGTCAGATCAGTATGCAACCTTCAACCGACGGTTACGGTCACGCGTGTAGAGGTAAACGAACCCATATAATCGATTGCGTTTCAAAAAACAACAAGCAATAGAGACGTGGCTAGAGAAGTGCAAGTATAAAAAACTCAAGTGTGGCAAACGCTGCGTGAAGAGGGGCTGTATCCGTTTCACGTCCAACGTGTACAAGCCCTTCAACTTGACGATTTTCCAGCAAGAGTGCGGTTTTGTGAGTGGTTGTTGCATCAACATGACAATAATCCGGACTTTTTGAAGTGAATATTGGTGACAGGCGAATCTACGTTCACGCGTAATGTGGTGAATAACTTTCGCAACACTCATGTTTGGACAGTAGAAAATCCGCACGCTGTCCGTCGGGCACATTTTCAACAAACATTTTCGGTGAATGTTTGGGCTGGCATGGTGAACGGTATGCTCATCAGCTGATTTTATTTTCTGTTGGAGCGGTATGACTTCGGGCAGAGACGTACTTAGCCCTTCTCGTCAACTGGAGAGTGAGTACTTTTTCCTTTATTTTTTATTTACTAGGTCGCCCTCGTTTCACTACACATGATCTTTGTTATTTCAAGGGTAGTTGTTTCTGAAAAGGAAAACCCCAACTTTGCGGACACCCTGTATAGACCGATGAAGTCTTCGAGGCATGCTTCCGCTGTTGCTTCACGTCTTATTGAGGTATCTTATCTCAAGCTAGCTATACTTTATTCCAAATACCTGCTAATTTTATCGTATCCTGCGCATGGTCAATTTGGCGAATGGTATATAGATCTGAGGCCAAGGAAAGATGTTAATTTAACCGTTATTCAGGTAGTCTACGTCAGCTCTAGGAATATGTAAACGGTCTTTTACTTATTGGAAAATAGGGTTCTTAGGCGTTTGGAGAAATGGTAGAAGATCAGGTTATTTATTGGATATACCTCTTCCAATGGAAAGGTAAGTTAGCACCATATGTAGTGGCTCCCCAAACTATCACATTTACAGTATAGTGCACGCGACGTTCAGCTAAAAAGTTCACCACGAGTCTTTCTACGAGCCAGCTTCTTCTCGGTTTTGTTTAGAAATCGATCATGGACGGGTACGAGTCAGAAGGCATCGCGTAGCAAGACGAAATGCAAAGATTTCAGTTCAACATCACGTGCACCGTATTGTAGCACTTAATGCTTAAGGCACCATTAAATATGCTGCTGTTACTATACTCCTAGCTTCAGTTACAAGAGGTATGATGGCACAACTAACAAGATATTACCCATCCCCATATTGCTAGGGCTAAAATAGACTACCTCCAATAAATCAGCTTGCTGCCTTGGCCTCCAAGATCTCTATACCTTTGGCCCATTGAACTTGTGTGGCATATGATGGCAATAAAAGTGATCTCTTTACCTCCTCATACGCTAACAGCTCTTCGGAACCAAGTATAGCTAGATCGAGAATATATACTTCCAGAAGACATAAATCTTCTCATCAAAAGCATGTCCCAACAACCAGATAAATGTATAAGACACTGGGATGGCCCAGAACATTATTAGGAAAATTAATGAACTGCTACCTTGCTCATGTCAACCTGTATATAAAATTCCAATCAAAGAATTGCTTCCACTGGATATTCCATTTTCTTTGGCACTGATTATATTATTGAAGGAAATTTTCGAAAGTTCCTGGCATTTGCAATTTCAACCAAAACCCATTTATTGGGTAAACTAGGTACGTCGATCACTAATCTGATAATAGTTTTTCTGATATTTGTGGGAGGCCCAAGCAATAAACCTATTTTCTAACTACAGATAGAGCTTCTCCTTACTATTGTATTTTATGTCATCTCTCTTCGAAATCGGCACCTCCAGTGTATTGAGATTCGTACACTTATAGCCGCGGATGACGAAAATAGAACTTTTTCATCGAGAAACTTTAAAGTTTCAAATTCAGAGTGGGGAACGTAATAATTGTTCACTATTTTGCACTGTTATTTACGCCACTGAACATTCGAGTCTGCTAGATTACTCTAATTTCAGAATGTTTGGCGAAGACATCAAAAATCGACTTACAAGACACTTCCCTCCGCCTCTTTTTTCTTTCCACCATCTTGTCTTAAGAATGTGCAACTTTCCTTCTTCCTGCAATTTCAAAATTGCCCCACTGATGGCAGTTCTGAAAGGAGAATCTGAAAAGCAAAAAAATGTGATCACGAATCAATATACATACACACTGATATAAATCTGTTTAATTCCGTAGCTATGCGAACATTCTAAGCATTGTTAATGATAAGTGAAATAGCACATGCCTGGGTTAAAAATTCTTGAAGCCCTTATTTCTCTGACTACGCTCCAAGATGAGCAGAAAGTTGAAAAACGGCAAAATACGAAATTTCGCTCTGTTTTAAGTGTTGATCCCTCTAAAAAATGATCGATCAGTCAATTAAGCATTTGTTGGCAGATTTGTGAGTTTCGAACTGCGAATTATTCAAACTTTTAGTGTAAAGATTGTGTCCTCGGTACAGTTGCATAATATAATCTATCCGTTTTACAACACATTGCTTGCGAGATGTGAAAGCAAATTCAGAAGTACCATAATATTGAATACAGCAATAAACTGGAAATATTGATAAAATTGATTGATAATGGATGAATCTTTAATTCCCACACCAACTGCGAGGAAGTATTTTTGGATGTTATATGACAAATACATATATTAATCATTTCTGACTGTCTGTCGGTCTGTCTATTTGTCTGCTAATAGTTGGTTCAATTATAAATTGGAAAGTGCTATTCGGATTTTGATAAAATTTTCATATGTCTCCTGCTAGTCCAAGGACAAAAAAGATTTGTTGTTTTTTAACATCAATCCAATTGCATCGAAGCTATGAACAAAAAACAACAAAAAAAATCGCTTAAATCTAATTTCTTAGTATTTCAGAGGGTCCTGCTCGTATTAGAAATACTTTTTAGGTGTAAAAAATGGAGGGTGGTGAGTTACAGAGGGTGAGGGAAGGTGTATCGCAATTTTTACCTTAATACATTTGTCCGTTCCTAACTCAGATTGCTATATGCACCTATTATACTAAGTGACATATAAATCCGAACACCCAGTTTAAATGGTTTTATTTTAATAAAATTTTGTATAAGTACTTAATGAAGCATAATAAGTAAATGATAAAAATTTCAAAATGATTGCACTGCTTTAAAGCTTTGACCTTTAATAATGTGTGGATGCACCCTGATGTGCTACGCATTCTCCAACGCGCCTAGGCATGCTTCTGATCAGGTGGTCAATGTCCTCCTGTGGTATCTCATTCCAGGCAACCACCAACTCCTCTCGAAGTGCTTCTAGAGTCTGAGGAGGACGTTGCAGATTGAGCAATCTCCTACCCATCATATCCCACACGTGCTCAATTGGGGATAAGTCGAGAGATCTTGGTGGCCATGGTAACAATGTGACATCATTATGTTGAAAGAAGTCTATTGTGACTCTTGCAACATGTGGTCGGGCATTATCTTGTTGGAAAGTTGGATCTGCGAGGGTGTCAAGATAGGGTAAAAGATGGGGTTCTAGAACTTCGTGGATATAACGCTGCGCATTCATGTTACCTCTGATGAAGATTAAAGGTGACCTGGAACCATAAGCTATAGCACCCCAAACGATAACTCCAACAGTGTGATGAACATGTCTTTCAACAAAAAACTGTGGATTCCTCCTTTCACCACGTCGCCTTCTAACCCTGGCACGACCATCGTGCATGCCTAAACAAAATCGAGACTCGTCACTAAAGACAATACTGTTCCATTCCTGATCCCACCATTTAAACTGGGTGTTCGGATTTATATGTCACTTAGTATAGATATATTTCTCAAATAGATATTACCGCATATTTCCTCTTAAGGCTTACGAGTAGAATGATAGAAATATTTCGTATTTCTTCATCGTTGCTTGTCAAACGGATGTGGACTGGGGATTAATTCTATGTGCCTGTTTCACTGGTTTGATCTATCTAATACATTTGTTAAAAATGTACGTAGTTAATTTTTTCTAAAAGGGTCTATCTTGTGCCGAATATAATCCAGCATTGCATAGGAAATGTAGGATCAACCCCTACTTTACGACAGTTTTTTTAAAGCCACCATATGACCTACTCGGACGTTAAATTTTCTAGAACCCCAATTAATTATTCTGGTTCTGATAGTACTCCATGGTGTTTTGGCCAATTGAAACAACGTATTTATTAGCTACTTTTCACTTTATACATATATAGTTTTATTCCACAGGCTAAGCTTCACGTGTTACAGAATTCTCATTCTGGTTCTTTTGAGGGTTTTCGTTTCGTACTATGAATAAATATGATAAGAGGCCTTACTATACAATTTTACGTACTTGGTGGCATGGCAATGCCGTATCCCTTGGAGTCCAGCAGTCCTCCAACTTGAGTCAGTTCGCAGTTCCTTTCAATAACGTATTCTATACTAGTCGATTCCATGAGAAATGCATATCCTCCTTTGCCTTTCACAACTCTCTCGACGCCCTCGTGATTTGTGGAAGTGAAAACTGAAGGCCTCTGAGATTCCATGAAGGCCCACATGCGTTGATATGTGGAGAAGTTTGAATCCTAGAAGAAGAAAGGATAGTTTAGTTACTAGATAGTCCTAGAATCCAATTCTTGAAACGAATAAATAGAAAACATCATTTTTTTTTCTTTAGACTGCGTTTTTTTCCATAAAGCACACATAAAAGAGAATGGCGTCATCAGCCTTGGTGGCACATTCGCACCCCTTTGTCGGAGTTTCGCATAACAACTCTGTAATTATTCATTCAATTTCCCCATAAAAAATAGTGTCAACCAACGCTATCTAGAGGGCCAATTTGGATTATTTTATTTACTGATGCACGGGTAGTATGGCATAAGGCACCATCTTGTTGTTATCAACATCGGTCTTATCCAATTTATGCAGAAAGAATTACAAACTTACTCTGAAGAAGGCAGCTGTAGATCCACCCTTATATGCTCCATACTTGATCTTCGTTTGTTTGGCCAGATCTTCAGCGCTTTCTATAGGAGAGTCCATACGTTCGACAGTAAGGAAGGCTGCTAGATTAGCAGTGTACGATGAAATCATGATGAGTGTGAAGAACCACCACATTCCTGCGACCATTCTGGTGGATACAGCCCTGGAAATACATATTGTTTAATGTCCAAGATACGCCTAATATCAAATAAAAGGTATAGCGCATAGGAACAATAGTTCCAGTTAATATCTCCAAAACCTACAAATTAAATGTATGACTCCACAATACTCGATAAAAAAATGTGGAAGAAGTGAAAAATCTGATAATAGGGAATATGAGCGATTTTTTTTGCATTTTCTGTAGATCATTTAAATTAATACAGGATGTTCCTTAATGATATGCGAATATTTAAGGGTGTGAATCTACATGAAAAATGAATGTTAGTTTGCTTTATAAACTATGGTCCGAAAATGTTTCCTTTCAAAAACTCGGGGTGTTGAAGTTTTAAGAAAAAAATGGAAATCAATTATTAATATTTTCAGAACCGCTTCAGATATTTCACTGATATTTAGTACGTAGTGAAAGTTAATAAAGTTGCATATTTTTCAATGCAAAAATAAATTTTAGCTTTAACAGTCCCATGGGTACGTATATTGACTACGATATTTTTTAAGAAAAAAATTGTTCGCCAATGATTTTTGGAAATGTCTTTATTTATTTTTAATTAAATATTTAGAGCTGCAACGCTAATGACGTTGATTTGAACGCTGCATTTTTGGGGCATTTTGCAGTGTCGTCACTATCCCCGACATGTCACCTGGTTGTTGCTTTTTTGCTGGGTTTCTATCAATTTTTTGACATATCATCTATTTGTAAGATGTTACGTTTATTATTACAAATAACACTGGAAAATTGGAACATCAAAACTGATAGGTTGAAAATCAATGACAGTCGGAACAAACGCCAGTCATTTTTATGGGACTGGCCAATTAATAAAGGAATGACTGGTCACAAGTCGCCAATGGTGAAGTCACATCAATAGCTTTGCGTCTCGGCATTCTCAATTTACCGCGTGCATTTTCCATTTTTATTAATTAATTTTATAGCAATCAATATAAAATAATGATGAAAGTATCATTAAAATAATTAAGCGATATTTGAATCACATGCATTTTCCCTTCTGCTGGATGTTATTCAATAAGAAATGATCCAGGATTACTCGAGCGTTTTTGAGAGAACTTTTTTTAGCCAAAGTACAGCCTAATGCTCGATATAGCTCGGCAGTCTATGATTAGAACCTTGGAATATAACTGGAGGCAGTATTTATAAAAGGTTTTTGCTGTCAAAAGTTTCATTCCACACTCCCAACAAAGCGATTTTTCAAAAATTCTCAAATGTTGTGTTAGAACTGACCCATTCATGTTTAAGGAAGACCCTCTGTATATCGGATATTCCAAATTCGACCCTCATCATTGGAATTTAGGAGTCGGTAAGAAAATAGCGTTTAGAAAGAAATAGTATCTTTCGAAATACAGTTTTTTTTCTGACTGAAATATTGATACATACATCGTTGCAATCGAAATTAAAAGCCCTATTTATCTATACAGAAGTCCAGTATGGCGTCTCTAAGAATAAAAGCTGTTGACGATAAAGGTCATGAGGCGAAACGTCATCTTTCATAAAGAAGTAAATACGATTTTTGGATAAATCTGTTTTTCGTCTATTTCCGGAATTATTATGGATTTCAAAACTGCCACTTATTTGTTCCCACTTAACAAAACCTCGTATCTATTATCGTTTCCGAGATCTCAATGGTGAGAATAAAATTTGAAACACAACGTATAATTTTAAATAATAAAAAAGTAACTTGCAAAATAACCGTTTTTCGGGTTCTCAGTATGATTGTCGAACCATCAACTTACTTAGGCGCTATATCAGCCCCTTGTTGCATCAACGAACCAATCGTGAACCAAAGGGAATTCATAAGGGAAAATTCGCTGCCATCCTGATTACAATGGTCCCATTCGTAAGGGCTGAACCTGTAAGCATACACAAAAAAAGATTAATAAGAAAGAAGGTGCTTACTTTGGCAGGAAATCGCATCCTTGCTGCATCAGAGATCCAATCGTGAACCAAAGACAGTTCTTCAGGTTGAACTGGTTCACCAGCACGTCCGAGTTCATCTCGCAGGAGTGCTCTTTGTGCCATTCGTACGGGGTGAACCTATAGAGCAAACGAGTTTAGCTTCAAGATAGATAGGTTTTTAGAAGTATTTAGTAACAATAACAGGCCTTGCGAGAAAAGAAGAAAAGAGTTACAAAATGGGAAAGCTTAGTCGTTTCGATTATTTTACAATTTGACCATTTTACTTCTGCCTGTTTGCTCTAGGTTGGTTCTCAAATTATAGCTCTTTACGATATTTTAATGACCGATTCGAATGCAATGGCAAAAGTTACGTAAGCGTGCAAATTTTAATACACTTGTAACAACAGGAGGCGGAGATAAAATAAAAATTTTGGTCAAGGTCCTCTATGAGATTTTTTTATAAATCTCCGCATGTCTGTTACTTGAAGTACGCTAGTTTCCTGGGTAAATCGGGTGCATAGACTCTGAGTCTGATTTACTTAGATGCTGGGTCTCACGGTAGGTACCAAGCAACCCATTTTCTTCATCAAAAACTTGGTCCCAGGAGGAGTTACGATTGTTTGACGGTCATACTCAATTCAGCGCTCCATATTACCTGAGCGTTCAAAGTTTCATCCGCTTTTGTGTTAACGAATGGAAATTTTTACCAGTAGGTCTTTCAACATTCTGAGTTTTTCTGCGAGGAAGTAATCAGTAACCCCTCCTTTTTGTGATCTAAAGAACTGGGTGAGCCAGTAGATTCCGAATTCTAAAAGGGATTCGCAAGCGAAACATTTTTTATCTTAAGCTTGGCACCTTGACACATAACAATTTTTTTACCATATCTGAATTGATCGCCACAAATTACTCACTACGGTCTGCGAAAATCAAAAGTTCGCCAATTTCGGCATAACAAACAAGCTTCAAAATGGCTTCAAAAAAAAAATCATGAAATACTCTTCTGGGTCTTGTAGAACAAGGTTTTAAGTATAAGAATGTACTTATTTTTAGGGTTTTTAGATATGAAATCAATTCGAAAACAGTCAACTTTACGCAAAAGTCTTTTTTTGTTCAGAACGACCAAAAAAACTTGAGAAAACATTATTTATACGAAATGCTTGAACAAACTTGATACGGGTTACCGAGCAGTTTGTTTCATGTTAAGGGACATTCATCAAAAGTCCTTATGAAAAAAGCAAGTTGCAAAACTCCTCTCGCGAATCTGGCAGCAAGTGTAAATTTTTAAGCATTGCATTTTTATACCTTAATATTTTGGAAGACCTTTGAAGTTCTGGCCGGTTGAGATGTTTTTAAACAATATTTTTACGATACATGTCGTTATCACTACTTATTAAAATATAATTTGACATCAAACTACTTCTTACCTCGCTAATACAAAAAGTAGCACAGATACTCCAAGGTAAGCTGTCGCCATGTAAATCCAAACGTCCAGCGATAATGGCGACAGAAAAGAAAACAGGTTTGGTGGTTGCTTGATGGGTTTCCTGTACAAAATACTGATCCCTAGGTTCATGAAGGGCATCGTGAAGTCGACTGCTTGTTCTCTGTGAAATATAATTATTTATTGACAAGTAACAAAGTAAAATCTGCATATTTAGCTTGGCTTGTTGTGTCATACTTAAGATTTTTAACTCCTGAGAAAATTTGCTACTCTCCACCCTTCAAAAATGTTTGGGCGCTAACCCGCAATTATAATATACAATGAGATTTCTCTTGTCAATGAGAAAAATTCTTGTTGGCGCCCATGTCTGAGCTTGTGACGAAATTATATCAAATCGGTGCGGTAATTTTCAAGTTACGCTCTTCTATAATGATACTTGAAAAATTGTTATGATCCATCTATCTGATGCGAAACGTTACTGAACATAAAAAATCATATTAATGCATCTACCTGTCATAAGTGATAGTCAAGTCAGCTACAGCCATATCTGCCTTCTGATCCAGCAGCTCCCTTATCAGACCATCCCATTCCTTGGTTTCTTTATTATAACTACCGTACCTAGGAAAAATATAATTCAGATAATATGCAAATTGAATAGATTCCGTGAAAAAATGGATATGGATGAGCGTGTTGATGTAGATCCTATATTTACCTGCCATCGGGTACTAATCTTATTGAGTAGTTGAATCCCAAAATTCTGGATATTTCATGAACCAAGTCAACAGCATATCCTTCAAACTGAGCATTGCCGGTCAATTTTTCGCTAGCCTCTTTCCTCATCACGTAAGGGGCACTCTGAAAAGTAATAATATACTGAGTGACATATAAATCCGAACACCCAGTTTAAATGGTTTTATTTTAATAAAATTTTGTATAAGTACTTAATGAAGCATAATAAGTAAATGATACAAATTTCAAAATGATTGCACTGCTTTAAAGCCCTTTGACCTTTAATAATGTGTGGATGCACCCTGATGTGCTACGCATTCTCCAACTCGCCTAGGCATGCTTCTGATCAGGTGGTCAATGTCCTCCTGTGGTATCTCATTCCAGGCAACCACCAACTCCTCTCGGAGTGCTTCTAGAGTCTGAGGAGGACGTTGCAAATTGAGCAATCTCCTACCCATCATATACCACACGTGCTCAATTGGGGATAAGTCGGGAGATCTTGGTGGCCATTGTAACAATGTGACATCATTATGTTGAAAGAAGTCTATTGTGACTCTTGCAACATGTGGTCGGGCATTATCTTGTTGGAAAGTTGGATCTGCCAGGGTGTCAAAATAGGGTAAAAGATGGGGTTCTAGAACCTCGTGGATATAACGCTGCGCGTTCATGTTACCTCTGATGAAGATTAAAGGTGACCTGGAACCATAAGCTATAGCACCCCAAACCATAACTCCAACAGTGTGATGAACATGTCTTTCAACAAAAAACTGTGGATTCCTGCTTTCACCACGTCGCCTTCTAACCCTGGCACGACCATCGTGCATGCCTAAACAAAATCGAAACTCGTCACTAAAGACAATACTGTTCCATTCCTGATCCCAGAGTGACCGTTGTCTGCACCACTCAAGGCGATTACGTCGGTGTTCTCCAGTTAAAGGGAGGACCCAGTGTGGCCGGTATGAAAACAAGCCAAAACTTCTCATTCATCGGTAAACACTTCGCATGCCAATAGGTCTTCCGTGTTCTGCAAAGCATTCATTTGCAATGGACCTGGTAGTGGAGAAACGGTCCCTTAAGGCCAATAATCTTAGGCGGCGATCTTCACGGTCTGTTGTTCTACGGCGGCGACCAGTGCCCCTTGCTCTTTGCGTACGGCCTTCTCGAAGCCATGCCTGACAACACCTAACCACAGTGTCTACACTTCTTTGCACTCAAACTGCAATTGCCCGAAAAGAAAGTCCAGCTTCCCGAAGTCCCACTATACGGCCCCTATCAAACTCACTAAGTTGACGAAATCGTACAGGTCTCCGTACTCTAGGCATCGTAACCGATCGTAAAGGATGTCAAGAACCAAAATCCGCCACCGTTGATTCTTTACTGCGGCTGAAATATTCATTTTTAGAGCGTTAGTGAATTAAAAAAAAGCAGTATAAAAACCGGAATGTCCAACTGATAAGGCTGAACATTTTTTCACTTGTTATTTACAGTAAGATAAATATATTCACCAACTTTTATTAAAATAAAACCACTTAAACTGGGTGTTCGGATTTATATGTCACTTAGTATACATCAATTTTGACTAAAATACCGTCTGACAGTATAACGGTATAGTCAGGCACCAAAATGGAAGAGAGTAGCATAACCCATCGAACGCCACTGCTAGCGCGGATCTTACCGTACATAAAGGCACCGTGGCGAACTATTTCTTAACCTACTTACTGTCTTCCATTCCTGTGTTTGTCTATGGTACTATATAGCAGTTATATTAAAGGAATTATTATACTTACAAGTAAAGTCGTCACAATAAACGTTTTGTTTTGAATAATTTCTACAATTTGAGTATAAGCCTCTCCGTATGTTCTCGTGAAGTTCACCCCTTCTGTACTGTTCCAAGTTCCAATCTTCTTCAGTCCTTCCCTGCTTAGTTCTACTATGTCCAGAACAAAGTCACTCCTGAATCCCTGATGATCGAATTTGATTATTCCTGTGAGTCCTCTCATCTCAACCTAAAAAGCACGAAACCTTTGTGAGATTTGAAACTGGTTCAGTGGCAGCGGAGATATGCAGACATTTCTTGATAATTTTAGGGCGTAGTCTAAGTTATTTTTTTGGAGGAGTAGAATATCAAAAAAATCGTGGACTTCGTTAATCGACGTTTTTCAAGTGTCTGGCGCTCATTGTAAAACAGTGGGTTCAAAAATTTAGAATGCGCTTCTCGTGTCTCACATTTTACTTGTACCGCTAGAATTCTCGTCTATCTAAAGTACAGTAAACGACCACTTGTAAATTGTATCAGAATCATTCGACTACAGTTCATGTAACACTATAGTTCTATTCGGCCATTACATATTATATTATATACAATGATAAGCACAAACCACTGCCGACCCTACGGGTAATTACCCCCCATAAATATCTTCCTATCTGTAATGCACTCACCACTTTCATATAGTTGATGAGGCTGTATCCGTGTGGCCAAAAATCCACCGCGTCGCAACTTAGCGGTTTGATGTCGATTTGCTGGCTGGTGTCCAGGTCGTGCAGAGCTTTGGCGAATAGGTGAACTGCGTCGTACATTAGGGCTGTTTCCGCCTAAAAATGGTATTTAGTGAGGGCTACCACAGATATATGAGATATCAAAAACGATTTTCCACCTAATTACGCATCACTGATGAGAAAAATCACTAGCGTTGCCGCGGGCACACATTCGTTGGCATCCCTTAGCATGCCGCCAGTTATCGACAGGTACGCGGGACATATCGCGGCATGCAGACGTTCTTTGCCGCGAGATCCCTCAGCACATTATCTGTTACCGAAAGGGAAATGTTCTTTTTGGGGGTTTGAAGAGGATACCGTATGATCCTGCGCTGCAAAGCGTTGGCATTCCGTGGCAACCTGTCAGCTTGATCTAGTATAGCCTGGCAGATACCGTGGCATGCATCCGCTTCTTGGGGTATCAAAGAGTATGTGGAAGGCATTGGTAGCGCGTGACAAACTGACAGCTGACGTCACTATCGCCTGACAGGTGTAAGATACCGCGGCATGCAGGCGCTCTTTGTCGCAGGAGCCATGAGCAGCGTTTCCGATACCTGATGTATCGAGAGGTATGAGCCTGCGGTGGGAAGTGTCAGTACTTATGAAAAAAATTGTCGGTATGGAAAGGCACGCTGGAGAATCCTGCGGCATAAGGCGCCAGAGGAGCAGAGCGGCACACTAATTCTACCTACTATAAGCTCTTTGATGCCGATATAGAAAAATCCCTCCTGGGGTATCAAGGACTTGCAGTGAGATTCTAACACAGCAGGCGTTAGAAAACCACGGTATTCTACCATTTTACGATGGTATCGATAGTCTCGCAGCTAGAGATCACTGTGCAAAGCCCGTACATACCCGTGGAAGAACTTTTCTATCTCGGTATCGGAGAGCATGCTAGAGGCTACTGCGGTGGAAGGCGAAAACATGCCGAAAGATTCGTTAGTATGCCGCGGCTTTCTTAGGATAATCATTTAATAGATGCTGTTGCATTCATGCGGCATGCCGATGAATGCTGGCGGTATAGCTAAGGGTATACTCAGGGCTAGCACATGGCAGGAGACTGCAATGGAAAGTACCGAAAAGAATTCCTTTGCACGCAGAAAAATTGTCCGGCATTCCGCCAGCTTACGACAATGTCTATATAATATGGAATCCAAGAGAAGTAACGGCATGTCAATGCATCTCACATGCTCTCTAATGCCGACATAGAAAAATCCTTCATGGGATGATAAAAGGGCTTGCTGTGTGACTCTACCGCAGGTGTAGGGATACCGCGGCACGTGTCAGACTATCGATACTGTCATAAACTGGAGGAATGTTGATCGATGTTTGCGGTATTACCAGGGATTTCACACATTAGTGTGGCAATGCTTGAAGAAAAATCGTTTGCGATGATCTCAACTGCCGTCTTATAGGGTCGGCTAACCTTTATTTTTCAGGATGCAATGCTGGTATTATAATGAAATAGATTTACACCGGATATTCAACAAGAATAGGAAGACTACACTTAGGGCCATATCGTCAGTCGTTGCTACAATTGTAGCACGCCTTTATATCCTCCTTGATGGTTTTTCCTGTCCTTCAGAAAAGCGCTCTTTTTTGAGGTTATGTTAGAAATATCTATTTGTATCAAGTTCCTCATGCTTTCGGTTTTTATCATCTGTCTTATCAGCCTGAAATTTTGCTTCAATTTATTAAAAAGGAAACATAACTAGGAGAGCGCTGACGCTGACATAGAACAGTAGAAATTTAAAAGTGCCCCAGTCTTTCTGAAGGAAAGAAAAGGCTATGAAAATCAAGGATGCCATAAAGGCGTCCTACAATTGTAGGAACGACAGACGATACCGCCCTTAGACCGGGGTTTGAAAAGCACACTGTAATTTTATACAATATTCGCAAAAAATGATTTTGTCATGATTGAACAAAGATTATTATAAAAAAACAGACATATTTGAATGTTTGCCAATATCTTTTCCTCCGGGATGATCCTACTGACCTAAATCAGGTGCAGCACTTTTTCTATTATCCCTCCAATCACGGCACACATGATAATACCGGAGTCATTTATCTGTGTCGTCGTAGGAATAGGCAATCCATCTTGTTTCTCAACGGGGCATACACACAATAATTGATCGACATTGCAGAAGTAATTAATGACCTCATTTTCTAGAAAATCTCTTTTCTGCAAGAGTCGAAATGGATGTCGAACTCACCTTTTGAATTTACTAGATTTAGTTCAGCTGCCCTAGCGCACAGTAGGTAGTAATTACAGTCAACATAGAGCAGTAAAAAATGTACCTGTATTTTGATATTGGTATTTATTTATCAAAATATGCAAAATAACTGAAAGTGTGTACGGGGTGTCCCCCTATCAATATATCCTCTCTCACTGTTTTGTATGACCTTTTGGAAAAAATTGTTTCATACAAAAGATGAAGGGTCTGATATAAGGTTTTACGTATATGCAGGGTGTCGGAAACATGCTATTGAACAAAGATGTATTTTCTCAAATAGAGAACACCGTATAATATTATTGAAAATCAGTCGATTTATTTCTGATTCCAAGTACATATGATTTGTCATACTTATTTTCATTAGTTTGGTCTAAACCTTAAGTTTTATGTTTACGAAATTTATTCATTTGTAACGATGTTCAAGCTAATTTGCAACTAGCCGCCAATTCAATCTGGAATAGGGACGGATACGTATGATGAAATGGCACACAAAATTTCAGTTGTTCAACAAAATAATGAAAGTAAATATAATAAACCATATATATTAGGAATAAGAAAAAAACTAAAAATATACAAGGTGTTCGATTTAAAAAACTACAAATACACCAAAAAAATGTGTGTTCTGTAGCGAGATATTGTGAAACTTAAGACAATGATATGGTCTATATACTCATGAAAGAGGGATCAGAGGGTAGACTTGTTGGTGCGGAGGTAGCCTTAGGTGTCCTGATGCAAAAAACTATGACAGAAACGTAGTTTGGAAGAAGAAGATGACACTCTAATTATTAGGAATACCGCTTACCTTAACAAATGTACTGTTGTCCTATTATGTCCAGAGGTAGCATGTGAAAGAACATCACATTATATTCAACTTGACAATTCCAATCTAAAAACTTCACAATGTAACACCGCTTCTCATTTTGAATAACAAACACTCAAAATCTATCACAAGTCAATAGAAATTTGCTGAACTTACCCTGAACACCGTCGGAAGATCTTTCTTCACTTTGTTGTCTGCAAGATTACCGGTAGACCAGTCATTAACAATTTTTCTCACTTCTGGACCTTCTGGGTCAACCAATCGGAATGCCGTTATATTTGTACCACCATATTTGAATTCTTCAAGGTTCACGCCATGTAGATCCTAGAAAAAATCGTTTTCGAGAACAATTTAAGTTTCGTTTGTTAATGAAAAACACATTAAAAACCTAAATACACATTTATATCTATTTGCTTGATTGTATGAGACTAACCAATGATGTTATGAGGTAACTATGGTAGTCGCTCATCATACCAATCTGTTGAGCTTGCTTCAAAACCTCATAGATTCTTGGTGTTGTGCAGTCCAACACTATATGTGACTCAGCTGAGTTCTTTATCTGCTTCAGAAGAGGCCTGAAAAAAATTATTTACTAACACTTTGGGAAAAGTAATTTTTGTAACATTAAGATTTCAGCGTATAGGTACGTAGTGAATAACACTAAAACAAGGAAAAATCCCTAATAATAAAGAGAGGTAAGGCAGTTTACCAAATAGAGCAATATCTTTCCAACCTTCCAGCCCAAGGGGTATAAAAAAAATCAACAAAAAAGATAACACTATACCTGTAGTCACTTCCTTCTCCAAGTTGCCGTATTGCTATTGGTGACTCATAAGGGCCCTGGGCCTTTAGCAGCTCCTGTAGCCTGACCAAACCTTCGTTGTTCTCGTAGATTATCGTGAAGGATTTCCAGCCCCAGGCTTTGACGATATCTACGTAGGCCTAGAAGTTTTGATAATGAAGGTGCATACTATTAACGACGGAATATTTTTGATAACGCGGAAGTGGTTAGGTAAGGAAGTGGCACACCAAATGGCTCTCCTCTAATTACTGCGACACACGTGCGTCAAATTGTCGATGATGATGATGGAACAGCGTTTTAAAACGGCGCCAATAATGTAGCCTGCTTGATCTGTGTTTATGTAATGATAAACGCGCGTATTTTGAAGTGCGGCAATTTGACGGCCGTGGAGTAGCTTCCCAGACATGTGAGGAGTAGTCCAGAGTCTTATCTGGACTGGAGGTAAGGAGGCTCGATGGTAAAGAGAACTTCTCGCCATAGCAGTTACTTCTCAGCCATGTTTAGTACTTACCTTTGAGAGTACGGTAGGGTGAGGATAGAGATTAACTAAACAGCTTTCCCTACGCAGTCTGTAATCCCACCTCGTTTCCAAATGAGGTACTTCCATTGTATCACAGATAGATTGGACATGACTGGCTGTATGTGCTGACTGGGGTCCGAAGATTGCTGCCACGCCAGTCCTTAGGAGATGACACACTGGAACAAAACATGTACTAAAGAACAGTGCAAAACGGAACATTTTTTCTTGAGTATAAACTTTGTCTTTTGAGTGTACTTAACATAGGATCTGTTACTTATATGCCCTATAGTCCATCTACTTGATACCAGTTTGTCTTACATCTAACAATATGTAATAGTAGGCCAAGCCACCTTTGAACCTTTTTGCCGATCTCGATGTACAAACCCCGTACTACTCCAGCTCCACCGATGCTATGCACCTATTTGTGGGTTCACATAGACAAACACAACATCAACGGCTCGAAATGTAGCTATCGAGGCCGGAATTTGAACCCGCGAGCATTCGAGCCCATGTGCTAGCAGCTTGACTCCGTAACACTGGCTACCCCCAGCTACTACATCCATTCATAATAGTTCATTCTCACTTCAGCTGTCGAGAAGAACATAATAAATGTATACCTTGTTAACGAGTTCACAATGTCAGCTTCGCTTGGCAGTGCCTCATAGGGTGTGCAGTACCTCAAGGTCATAGAAACTTGCTCAAAAAATCAACGTAATTTTCAAATAGTTGAGCTGCTACATGGTCTTTTAACAATGATGAAGATGTGGCGTAATTGAAACGTTCGGTCGGAAACATTTTGTTTTGAACGTATGACCTAAACGTGCAAAAAATGCGTTGAAATATTCTGTAGTACCTTTTTTCGATGCGTGGAAACTATCCTGCGGGGGAATTTTCTCGATTTGGGCACTCAGCTTAGACCTTGGCAGTATTGTACGATCGTTATTAATTTTTTCTACAGCATATCTGAAAGCTATTTCTTGTTTGTCATCTGTTGGATGAAAAAGTCCACCTACAAAAAGATCGATCGTTACACTATAATTAGTCCTTATTTTGCAGAATCGCTGATTTTTCAAATACAGGGTGTTTCAAAACTGTGGGATCAAAGTACAGTAGAAAACATTTGAGTATAGGGACCCATATCCGACGCTTGTGTGTTATTATCTTTAAAACAGATAACAGAGATTGTTTTTTGTAGCTGCATTCCATATCGCCTTAGTCGTGCTATCGTATCTGTGAGGTTTGCAAGAATTTAACAAAAACTAATTGTTGCTAATGGAAAACTTTGCCAATCAAGAGTTGGCGGATATGCATTTGGCATACGGAGCAACAAGCTGCAATGCACGAGCAGCAGCGCGGTTGTATCAAGAACGTTATCCCGAACGACAGCATCCGGGATACAAAAAGGTTATTGCTATTCATCGGCAGCTCTCCGAGACAGGCATGTTTAAAACCAACATGCATGATACTGGTGTTGCTCGAATCGAATTTGAAGAAGAGGTTCTGCAGCGAGTTTGCGACGAACGATCAAGTAGCACACGTCACATTGCACACAGTATACTGAACTTAACAAATTTCGAGATTGCCATGAATTAACAAACGACCAAATCCTCTGCCAAATTTGACAGCTAGAAAATCGACCTATTATTTCTCCCATTCCCATTCGCTGAGGGGATAACGGATGGTCAAATGTACACCTATAACATAAATCAAAATATATGAAAGTTGTCCTGTTTTCTCTGTTCAAAAGCATCATGTTGGAATCAAAAAGTGGTCTTGTTTATAATACAGTCAAATTTTCACGATTTTATTCAACATTTTAATAGAAATCACTGATATTCTGAGACCTTTGACAGCTTCCGTCAAATTGCATTTCGATAAGGTATTTTCCTATTGCTCCATAATATTAATGTTGGTGAAATCGGCCCTTAGGGCCATAATTACACTTTTCCGGATATGGGTCGCTATACTCAAATGTTTTCTACTGTTACACTGAATAACCCCTAGAAGCTTGATCCCTTAGTTCTGATACCCTGTATTTAATAGTCGGAGTTCTGAGGTTCAGAAGCCACCTATTTTTATCGAAGGTGTTTTCATCAATCCAAGGAAATTTGATGGATGTCAATGATTTATGATTTTCACAATACAATAACCAACAACATTTTATAATAAAATATTTCATACTGATTTTTTTTTGAATCTGTGAAATTTAATTTTATTAAATCAATTCAGATATACAAATACGATAATTTTTTTTAGCTCATAAGACTGAAAACAAATGCATGGCAGGAAAACAATATTTAAATATAACGACAAACATAAAAACCATGTGAAAATAATTAACAAACTATCACATAAGCATAGCAAGTAAATAAAATATTCCTGTTTAAAAACCTCTCTCGTATTTGCAAATTTTTGCTGACTCTATCTGTTTTCTCGCACTTATCGTGCATTTTCCACGCATTATACAAATAAATGTTCTTTTTATTCTGTTTGCGTGACCCAGAATTCCCAAACGTATGCCCAACCTTTTTAAATTATGGTACTCGCCTATTGGAATCAACTCTGGGAGACAGTTGACCAGCTCTATCAAGGTAACTAGTATGATAGGATTCATCATGAGCCTCTGCCTGGAAATGAAATACGTTAATTTATACCGTTAGCTAATTAACGTTATTGAATAATTAACATAATACAAAGAATAGGACAAGAGTTAATTTTTTGTGGAAAAATAATTACAAAAAATTGTCCTTAACGTGCATGTCACGGAATGGGGTGCACGCTGAAGTTGTCTTTTATGCGTCATACCTCTTTATATACAAGAAAATCATAAACAAAATCGATTTCCATTTTTGAACATTAACATTTCTTAGTGAAGCAGCCAAAATGATTTTAAATGGTCCATGACTTGAAATTTTGTCACATCAGTGTTTGACATGGCCTTCAAGTTGTACCCGAATTTTGAGTGCTTCTTGCATTTTCCTTAATTTTTCTTATAATTTGATAGGCTTTTCAGTTGCTCATATGATTATTTCTGGTAGGAGATCCTTGAATACCATGAACAATCTGCATTCTTTAAAACATTCTTGGTCGGTAGATACTAAGAATAAAAATAACAGTAAGCTTAATACTATGACACTATTAATAATAGATCTGAATCATTAACAGTAAATCATACTGCTGTACCTATAGGATTGTTTGTAGGAACGTTTTATGCGTATGTATAGCTGATACGTATAAATAACTTTCTGTTGCCTTTCGTCGAAAATAACTATAATTTACTAGTAAGCCGTGTCGTATCTCGGTTTATTGGTGAAATATGTCACCTTTCAGAAGAGTGTTTGTAAAGCAATCATCAATATCAATCAATCAAAATAATGTATTTCTGCTTTCTCGTAAACTCTTATATACATTCGCAAATTTTACAAAGTTCTGGGTTTTACTCTATTTTTACTACACCAAAACATTACCGAGAGTAGTAGTGTGTATCTCGGTAATGTATATTGTCTTGAGAAAAGGTAAATCGAATCAATTGTGGGAAGATCTGGAAAAGACCTCTAATGCTATCAAACTCAACTACGATACTTTTTCTGATTATTAATCAGTTATACAGGGTGACTTGTAATGTCACGTATTCCTGTTAAGGGGTGATTAGGTCAAAAGCAACCGATTTTGTTCTATCATGTCTTATCCAAAAGTTAACCATTTTTGAGTTATTTGGATTTTAAGTTTTTTATTTTTCATTCCCATTTCAGACGGTTAAAATTGAAATCGTCGCATAGCAAACATTCCAATAGTTCATAATAAGTAATAAAATGTTGAAAAGCTACAAACGTTTTAAAATTACGCTTTTTAAATGTATCTTTTTTTTTACTAACTTATTCGATAAAAATGCAATTTTCTGTAAAAAATTGCAAATTATGTAAATAATATCTCTATCTAACAAGCTTTCATTTGAGGTATTAAGCGTTCAATTATCTGAAGTACATGCAGAGAAACAACAGTGACACCCACAGATGCTGGATTTTTAAGGAATTTGTATTACCTGTTTGAACAAGTCGTTACTGTCCTCAAAGGACTCGCATGCCAAGATTGTTTTATGGCATCGGCTCGACGAGGAAGCGAGCGAGAAGAGCTGCCTTATTGGAGGAGTGAGAGAGAGAGAGAGCTGTTACTATTCATCATTGTAGTTACGCCATCGCCGCACGCCGAGTGAGAATTAGGTTAAGTTGGTATCAACTACTGCGTACGCACACACGTTTTACGCACGATTATTATTTTCGAGTTTCCCAGTTCCCAGGACTTCGCCATAGCGAGCACGGGCAAACTTTAACAAAAGAAGAATACGCAGAAATAATGTTCTGTTATGGACTTTGTAACGACGATTCTGCAGCTGCCCGCCGTGAATATGGGCAACGTTTCCCGAATCGCCGAACACCTCATGTTACTGTGTTTGACTCTGTGTATCGTTGCATCCGCCAAACCGGACGTGTTCAAAGGCAACATAGTGATGCTGGTCGACCCCGAGTCTATCCTCCTGAAGATGAAGAGGAAATCCTTCGTGTGATTCAGGAAGACCCTACTACGTCTACGCGCATTGTGGCTGCTCAGTTGGGTATATCACAATACAAAGTATGGTTTACTGTGCATACTGCAAGATTATACCCTTATCACTACACGCCTGTGCATGTGATTAAAGAGGGCGATCCTGCAAGACTTAGATTTCTGCAGGTACATGTTACATGCAGATACAGAAGATCCAGACTATTTTAAGAAAATTCTGTGGAGCGATGAATCGAAGTTTGATAAGGACGGGATCACTAACTACCATAATGCTCATTACTGGGCCGATAAAGAAGCTTTAAACCCCCGAAAAATAAGACCGACGGGGTCTCAGAGCCGGTTTTCAGTCAATGTGTGGATGGGCATCATTGATCGATATTTAATTGGACCTCATTTTCTGCCGCCAATTTAAATGGAGAAGTGTATGAAGAGTTCTTGAAAAATCACTTGTTTCCATTAATGGAAGACGTCCCATTGGCGACTAGACAAAATATGCGGTTCCAGCACGACGGCTGTCCCGCACAATACAGTAGATTGGTACGGGCGTATTTAGACTCTAAATTTCCAAATCAATGGATTGGCACAGGCTGGCCCATTGCCTGGCCAGCAAGAAGCCCAGATCTCACACCGATGGATTACTATGTGTGGGGTCATATGAAAAGCCTGGTCTACGATGTTTCGCCCGTACCAACGCGCGATGAATTAATTACAAGATTAAAAATAAAAAAAATAAAATTCAAATAACTCAAAATCGGTTAACTTCTGGATAGGATATTATAGGATAAAATCGGTTGCTTTTGACCGAATCTATCACCCCTTAATAGGAATACGTGACATTACAAGTCACATAGGACATTCGAAATCTGAAAAGTACCATTTCTTAATCACCCTATATATTTTGAGCTACAGTAGAAAACTAACCTTTGAAGCTCTTATGCGTGTTAAAAACACTTAGAATATTGGGGCGCGGGATATTTTGTTTTACGTATTGAGATCTATAAAATGACAAATTAAGAAATATGTAGTAACTTGAGTCATAAGTCTTCTGAAAAATCCTTTTGGAAGCATCCTTTTATCAAAACAGTACCGTTTTAAATAGGCAGAAATATAATTCTTCTACAATTGTACCTTCAGTGTTCTGGGTAATATAAAGAAGACGAGGTTATATAAATCATTAAATACTACACTCCAAACCATGCAACAGCCCGTGAAACAGGCATTTGTTACAAAAACAACACCCACCTAACCTAATCTTTTCAAAGTAATAAGCTCATAATCGTATATGAGTAAATAAACATGATCCAATATAAGTACTGAATTTATTGTAAAATGAATAAATTGTGATGTACCTACGTATACCATGCGATTATCATACAAACAAAGAAACTCAACAAAATTCGTACTACACAAAAATTAAAACATTTAAAAAATACGAAACCTACCACAAGAAAAATCTCCCAATTCAACTTTAAGCCTCAGCGTCCCCCATTTCGTAGAAAAGGCATAGCCTTATTCCTTGCGGCGTTGAATGTAAACGGCCGCTGTGACGTCACGTGATGTTCGGAGTCCTGGATCGACCCGAAAGGTGGCTGTCGACTGCTGCAGTCCTGCTGATCCTGCTCCCAGCCTCCGGGATGACCGGAGTATGCGTGGAAATAGGGGGAGAGATGGGAAGTCCGGGAATGTAAGTACGGGGGGAGTGATAAAAGTATTTTGCGAGTCTTGGATCCGCTATGAATTTTCATTGTTGCGTTTCATGATACTATTACTTGTGAAGTTAAACCTAAGTGCATGCAATCACTCTATCTCTTTCGCATGCATGACGTAACTCGGTGACAAAATTCCGCAGAGACGGGTAGCAAACACAGTTTTATATGAGCACTTTAGCACCTAGTTTGTGGTAAGTTTCGTCAGTTTGTTATCAGGTGTGTTTCAAATAAGTCTCTTAGCCTACAAAAAAAAGAACGCTTTGGAAAGGTGACGATTTATTTGTCAACATAGTCCTTTTAGCTCGATAAACTGGAAGAAATTGCAAAACCTAGATGGCAAGTCAAAACGCCAAATATACCTGCAGAGTTTGATGATCCGAATGAGATAAACATTTTCTGATTCCGTCATCAAACAATGTTGATCCTGTTCCTGAAAAATTTCACTTTTACAATAGCAATTTCCGTAAGGATTTTGATCGGTTATTTTCTTTTGAACCTGTTTCTGAAGCCATTGTTTATAAATATCTTTATGAAATAAAACTCTTGCAACTGGGGCGGATGGTATTAATATAGAAATGCTACTTTTATGCTGTAGGTACATTTTACCAGCCATAACGCATACTACTATACTAAGTGACATATAAATCCGAACACCCAGTTTAAATGGTTTTATTTTAATAAAATTTTGTATAAGTACTTAATGAAGCATAATAAGTAAATGATAAAAATTCGTTCGTTCGTAAAGGTTTTTTATATCTTGAGGCAATGTGTGGTGGTAAGTGCGTTTTTACTTGCTTAGGGAGTTTGTAGCGCTTGTGTGTGTACAGGGTGTCCCGGAAATATCACGTCACAGCGACACGAGAGGTAGATTGGCTTCAGATATAAACAACGTGACCTTAGTACAAGTTTTCGAGATATTGCCACTTTCAAGTCTTTTCAAAAGTTTTCTCTTTTTCCTCCTTTTTGTCTGTTATGGCTATAAAGAACTTGTGATTTTTTCTTCTGGGCTACCATCAATAGTTGGTTGAGTTCATTGAAAGCTAGCAAAGAAATTTTACATTTTGTTTCAATGTGAAAACCTTTACTAAAGTTTGACTAATTACTGTGAAAAAATCTTCCAGACTGAATCGGCGAATAATTTCAATAAGTAGCATATTTAATGCTCCTTTAAAAATATTATTTTGCAAGTATTACTTCAATGACAAACATTGGAATTACTCAGTTTTTAGTAAAAAAACCTACAAATGCTATACTATGTTTGAAAAAACATAAAATATCTAGTTTTTGTACTCGGTTGTCTCAACCAACTATTAATATACTAACTGACATATAAATCCAGTTTAAATGGTTTTATTTAAATAAAATTTTGTATAAGTACTTAATGAAGCATAATAAGTAAATGATAAAAATTTCAAAATGATTGCACTGCTTTAAAGCTCTTTGACCTTTAATAATGTGTGGATGCACCCTGATGTGCTACGCATTCTCCAACGCGCCTAGGCATGCTTCTGATCAGGTGGTCAATGTCCTCCTGTGGTATCTCATTTCAGGCAACCACCAACTCCTCTCGAAGTGCTTCTAGAGTCTGAGGAGGACGTTGCAAATTGAGCAATCTCCTACCCATCATATCCCACACGTGCTCAATTGGGGATAAGTCGGGAGATCTGGATGGCCATGGTAACAATGTGACATCATTATGTTGAAAGAAGTCTATTGTGACTCTTGGTCGGGCATTATCTTGTTGGAAAGTTGGATCTGCCAGGGTGTCAAGATAGGGAAAAGATGGGGTTCTAGAACTTCGTGGATATAACGCTGCGCGTTCATGTTACCTCTGATGAAGATTAAAGGTGACCTGGAACCATAAGCTATAGCACCCCAAACCATAACTCCAACAGTGTGATGAACATGTCTTTCAACAAAGAACTGTGGATTCCTCCTTTCACCACGTCGCCTTCTAACCCTGGCACGACCATCGTGCATGCCTAAACAAAATCGAGACTCGTCACTAAAGACAATACTGTTCCACTCCTGATCCCAGAGTGACCACTGTCTGCACCACTCAAGGCGATTACGTCGGTGTTCTCGAGTTAAAGGGAGGACCCAGTGTGGCAGGTATGAAAACAAGCCAAAACTTCTCATTCGTCGGTAAACACTTCGCATGCCAATAGGTCTTCCGTGTTCTGCAAACCATTCATTTGCAATGGACCTGGTAGTGGAGAAACGGTTCCTTAAGGCCAATAATCTTAGGCGGCGATCTTCACGGTCTGTTGTTCTACGGCGGCGTCCAGTGCCCCTTGCTCTTTGCGTACGGCCTTCTCGAAGCCATGCCTGACAACACCTAACCACAGTGTCTACACTTCTTTGCACTCTAACTGCAATTGCCCGAAAAGAAAGTCCAGCTTCCCGAAGTCCCACTATACGGCCCCTATCAAACTCACTAAGTTGATGAAATCGTACAGGGCTCCGTACTCTATGCATCGTAACCGATCGTAAAGGATGTCAAGAACCAAAATCCGCCAACGTTGATTCTTTACTGCGGCTGAAATATTCATTTTTAGAGCGTTAGTGAATTAAAAAAAAGCAGTATAAAAACCGGAATGTCCAACTGATAAGGCTGAAAATTTTTTCACTCGTTATTTACAGTAAGATAAATACATTCACCAACTTTTATTAAAATAAAACCATTTAAACTGGGTGTTCGGATTTATATGTCACTTAGTATAATTGTTGCCTAATAGAAAGTACTTTTCCAGAGTGTTGGAACGTTGCAAAAGTTGATACTCTCCCAAAGAAAGGCACTATATCTAGCTTGTCGGATCTTCGTCCAATTTCTATATTATCGGTGCTGTCCAAAGTTCTGGAAAAAATTATAAAACTTCAGTTACTGCTTCATATAGATAATTATGATTTGCTGCCGTCTTATCAATCAGGGTTTCGAAAGGGTTTTAGTTGCACGACAGCGCTTCTAGATGTTACGGACGAAATTATCAGAGATATTGATAACGGCAGTACAGCGGCTCTTGTATTGCATTTGATACAATTAATCACCAGTTACTGTTTTCTATTTTAAAATACATCGGATGTTTTGGTAATGCTATTAAACTATTTAAAAGTTATTTCTCGAAGAGGACGCACCTCTTCCGGGGTGTCTGTTTCCAAGCCTGTTCTGTGCGGGGTACCTCAAGGCTCTATCTTGGGTCCCTTACTTTTTTCAGTATACTCTGCAAATATTACTAGTACTTTGAGATGTTTAAAGCCTTATTTCTATGTTGATGATACCCAGATAAAATTTTCGTTCTCTCATACAGATACAACTGCGGTTACATTATTAAATGAAGATCTTAGTAATTTGACAAATGAAAGCATAGCACATCGGTTATCTATAAATCCAACGAAGTCAAATATTTCATTCTTCGGGAAACACAAAAAGAGCGCGACAGATTCATTCCATATTTCAATTAATAATAATGTTATTCCTCATGCATCCGCTACTAGGAATTTAGGCTTGATTATGGACAGTGGCCTGAGGTTTTCAAAGCATGCTGACAAGTGAATTGGCAGTGCTTACGGTCGGCTTAAAATGTTGTTTCTACATCGTCATACCTTTTCTACCGAAATTAAGGCTTTACTTTGTGACATGCTTGTTCTGTCATTGTTCAATTACTGCGACTCAGTTTATGGGTCTTGTATAACAAGGTATGATGTTGATCGTATACAGCGTCTCCAAAACTCTTGTCTTAGGTTTATTTTTGGAGTGAAAAAATTTGAACGTATTTCTTATAAGTTACCTGTAATAGGACGGCTAAATATGGAAGCCAGGAGAAATCTACAATCAGCAGTTTTGATTCATAAAACTATTCTATATAAAACGCCACCTTATTTATATAATAAGATTACATTTCGAAGTGATGTTCACAATATCGATGTTCGGTCCCGGAAGCTGATTTCCCAACCACGTCATCGTACATCTATGTTTAACAGATGTTTTTCTTATCTTATCTATCACTTGTACAATCACGTCCCCACATACCTTAAGTCTATGTGTGGGTCAGCTTTTGAAGGAAGTTACAGAAAATTTCTATTAGATGAATTGTAGTGTTATATTATATTGTTCCTTGCCTTTTTATATTTTAAATGATTTTTTGTTAATTCTGCCTAAAATGATTTGACCTTTTTCGTTAAATTATATTTTTTAGATAATTTCTTTATAAACATATATTTTTTGACGCTTGTAAATATTATTTATTCATTATTAATAGTAACTTATATAATTAGGTTAAGAACCCCTCTGTTGTAATTTTGTTTGTTGGGTACTTTGATCAGCTTCTCTATTTACTGCTCGCTTTTGCATGGAATTCATGTTGTTTCTTCATGTTTAATTTTTCCTTCTTGGAATTTTTTGCTCTGCAAATAAACGCTATTATTTTTATTATTATTACTTGACCTAACGATGCTCCAGCTTCTTTAAACCATCTGAAAAATCCGTTTTCTGGAGGTCTACAAAGTAGACCTTTGTGGCGGCGACAACCTCCTCATTCGACTCAAATTCCTGCCCGGTGACTTTTTCAAGTTTGTAATCAAAAAGAACTCGCTCGGGGCCAAATCTGGAGAATACGGTGGATCCTAATTCGACCAATTTGGCCGTGGCGATGGCTGAAGAGCATTTTTTTCCTTGCCAAATGGGGCCGATTTTTCTGCAATTCGGAGTCAGATCGGCCTAATAATTCGGCATAGTAGACCCCTGTGTCCCTTCTGCCCTTTCCTAGGTAGTCGATGTGGATCACACTTTGTGACTCCCAGAAAATGATGGCCATCACCTTTCCAGCTGATAGGACAGTCTTCGCCGTCTTCAAACGTCGCTCTGAAGTGATCTCAGGGTTGC